TTCATTACTTTAATTAAGAATTTTTTTTTCTTCCCTTCTTTGTACATTCCAATTCAACTCTTTACTATTATTCATGGTTTATTATTAAGAATATAATTGTCAAGTTAAATTATGTTAATAGTTAAAAGAGCTTCAAAAAATTTACCCCTCAAACAACTTTTTTGTTTTAAATTCATTTTATCAAAATGCATTCTAGTACTTTTCTCTACTTCTCAATATGGAAGGTGAGAATTGGAGTTTCTTCAGGGGACAAATGAGTTGGTGAATTTCTTGCTACTAATAATTAAAAAATATTAATTTCTTTTAAAAAACTTATTTACTACAATTTTTTGAAAATAGTAAGACTACTGCTTTGTTTCGGATTTATAGATAAATTTTTATTTTTTTTTTGACTGTTTTTCTGAATTAATCTTTTTAATTTTTACGTAAGAGTAATTTTTTGTTTTGCTTTGTTTAGGATATATATATATAGTCAATATATATATATATATATATATATATATATATTGAGTGTTTTTCTAAATTAATCTTTTAATTTTTACATAAGAGTAATTTTTTGTTTCTAAGGACAGTTTTCATACTAATCACGCCTTACGAGATTGGAAAAAAATTAGTAATTAAACTTCCTTAATATCATTATTATTTTCTCATTTGCCTAAATGAAGATAATATATTCTCCTGATTCATCCTTTTTTTGTTTTTTTGGAGGGTAAATTTATAAAGAATGGTAGAGGGGATTCGTAGGTTTAGGGTTTGAAGGGCCATGAGAGAGTTGCAGTAGGTCTTGACGATAGTGGTGTTCTCAAGTTTTTGAAACTCTTTTATTGGTTTCTAAAGAGGTTTAATCCAAAAGGAAACAGAATACAAAGAAAAACCTCACAAAGTATGAAAAGAAAAAAACAAATAATATGTAATTTTTTTTTTTAAAAAAAGAAAATTTATTTCTAAAAACCGAGATAAGTACTATTTGCTTCAAAAAGAATTATTTTCTATAATTTCTTTGCCTAAGATAATTAAGGATTTTTCGTTGTCTTATATTATTTTTTATCCGGCCATGTAATAAATAAAAAAAATTTCCTTAGCGTTTATATAATAATTTTTTTTTGCCTTTTTTTCCTTCCTGCATTGTTTTGCAAACATTGCGACTGAATCACTATTATTGTGTCCAAGCAGTCAGCACTCCTTTTATTTTTTTGTTTTTAAATCTAGGACTGTAGTGATTTATTTTTAAGGGTTAAATGTTCAGATACCCGTGAAGTTTGAATATATAAATTAGAAGAATATATAAGTAGAGTCACGTTCTTTTGTTCTACGTGGAGTAAGAAAATTAATCTATACTTTTTATATATACTTTTTTTTTTTAGCGCAAAACCACTCTCACCATATTTTTAGTTTCATATTTAATTTTATTTAATTTTACCATTTCACTGCAATAATATGAGAATAAAATTTTGTTAATTATCTTTAAATGTTTCTTTGAAAGAAATATCTTTACAGCTCACTCCACCTGTCTATATGTTTGAATATATAAATTACAATATCATAATTTTATTAATTTATTTTTTCATTTTCTTTTAACGGCTTCTTTGTTATTTTAGTTTTTCCTTCATATTAATCTTAAACCCCGGGTTTATTGGTTAGAAAAAGGGAGAAATTTTTAATTTTTCTTTAAATTCAATACCCAATACTATATTCAATAAAATAAATAGGAGATTGGAAATAAAAGTCTCTGCTGGCATCCCTTCTTCATTACATTGTAGGAACAAAACTATCGGATGAATCCATATGGAAATATTTGGTACATGAAGCCATTATATGATAAATATAGATTTTAATATATATATATATATATATATATATTAGTTTTTTTTTTTTTTGATAAGTTATATATATTAGTATTATTATGAAATAAAAAATATATATTGAAAATAATTCTTATGTTGTAACTTGGAATAAAGGTTTCTTTGTGAAGGAATAGAATAACAATTTATTTCTATAAAAAATATAAGAAGATGGAGATTTAATCAGAAATATAACAAATTATTGCAGAGTTCAAAGAAATGAAATTAAAAAAATCAAATATTCTAATTTCATCTTTATCGAATTTCAATACTTATTATAATAAGGGATACGGGCAATTGGCATAATTCAATTGGACAGGTCCACTTACTCTCTTTTTTTCTTTTCTTTTTTTCCTTCTTTTGTTATCACTTCTCATGGTAGAATCTTGTATCTTTAACGGCTCTTTTTAACAATAGTAAATATATTTTTTTGAAAAAACATAATTTTACTTTATTTATTTTGGAAATGACCAAAGTGAAAATAAGTTTAAACATTTTTCTAATATTTTTCTTCTTTTTCTTAATACCATTTTTCTATCAATTTGGGTTTTCTTTATCTATGTCTCATTCAATGAATCAATATCTAAACACGAACCACTCATCTTTGGTTTCCTAATAGTTCTAGATGTTAAGAATAATGCTAGATAGATAGACATTTTTTCAGTCTTGACAATTTATTAGAACAATTAAGCATTATTGGCCTTATTTACAACCAAAACTATATTTATCAAAAAAAAAAAAAAACCATCAAATATCAATTTATGTACCTCTTACCGAAAATATTCCGGGCCGGACTTGACCCAGCCTTTTATTCTCTGTATTTTGGGCCACCACTTGTCATAACACCACCATCAACAACCCGAAAATGATAGTTTAGGCACTTTGCGCCATGGGTTGTTATTTGTTTATGGTCGGTCAACTTAGTAATTTTTATCATTTTAAAAAAAAAACCTTGTTTGAGTTAAAACTTTAATATATATATATATATATATATATATATATATATATATATAAGACTGTTGTTTACTATTATAATAATGTATTAGGATTTAATTATTTGAAAAAAACTTCACCAAGTCGGTCAACTACGATTATATTAATTTGGTTGGCCGGTTGAAGCAGTATTTTTCTTTTGGCATTGATTAAAACTAATCACTCCAATTAAATTAGTTTACATTGTGTAAAATTAATCACTCCGGTTAAGTATTAGTATATGACTATTTGTATATGTAAATTATTCATTTACAAAAGAATTCTTATACATTTTAAATTTAAATTGGACATCACTTGTGATATTCAATTGTATTCAAAAGTTCAGACCACTCACAATTTTGGACTTTATAGCACAAATTCTTGAAATTTGTTGGTCATGTGGTCACACTGCACAAAAGTTACAAGAATAATGTTTAACCAAACACGAGCTAAAAACAAAGTATGCAGTAAGGCCCGGTTTGGTTGGAGGGTATTGGAAAGAAAAGAAAATAAAATAAATGGAGGGAAATCAAATATTGTGTTTGATATGAATTTTTAAAGCAAAAGAAAGGAGAAGTCAAAAGAAAATAAATTGTATAAGATGTGTTAGTTTTGTTAGCCTTCCAAATATTGTGTTTAGTTTTTTTAATAAAATTTTATTAATATCAAAATTTTCTTTATTTTTATAAAAGACAAAATCTATGAAAAAAAGTAAATTCACTAAACTTTCCTTTCCTTTTCTTTCTTTTCTTTTCTTTCCCAAACATGATTAATATCATTTTCTTTATTTTCCTTTATTAATCAACCAAACTTAACTATATTATTTCATTTTCTTTCTTTACTTTTCTTTCCTAACTAATCTTATCATTTCTTTTCTTTTCTTTTTTATTTTACCAAACATAACCTAAGAGTTTGGATTATAAATGTAAAAATATAAGTTACTTGGTATTTAATTTGTACATTTGTATAATTATGGACTTCTAAGTTGATAATAGGAATTGACTGCTTACATAATTTTACTGTCATGACACAATATAATTTGACATCAATATTATTTAATTATCACTTTCTTTTCCCGAAGGTTGTCATATCAAGATTTGTACATATATATATATATATAAAAGGATAGGTTGTATAATTTGTGTATAATTATGGTTGATAATTGGATTGACCGTTAGTAATAATTTCACTGTCACGACACAAAGTAATTTGACATATTACTATTTAAGTATCATTTTTTTATTTGTCAAAAGTTTTGTCATACCAGAGTTTATACACATAATTTCCCCGTCACAACATAATGTAATTTTACATACATAAATAAATAAACCAACTCTTCCATGAAACAGATAAACACATACATTGCTTGTGTGACCTAATAAAGCTCAAAGTCTTGAGCTTATATAGGAAGAAAATAGATTTTCAGTCATCTTCAGACTTCAATTCTTACAAAACCTATCATGTGCTAGTGCAAAAGCCCCACGTTAAGGTTTCCACTGCAGGTTTCTTGTATTCCTTTCATACGCAAGTATATATATATATACATATATATAATATAGTAGTAATATATTATATACAGACACATACAGCTATCAATTTCTTTCTTGCATATAATAACAAAAATGTTAGGTTTTCATTTGCTAATTGCCAACCGAATTGTAAACCGGGCGAGGTAATGTCAGATTTTTAGAGCACCCAGGGCTCCAATTGCTGCGTCATTCCCGGTCTCTTTCCCTTTTTTATTATTTTTATTTTTATTTTTATTTATTATTTATTTTTTATTTATTTTTCTTCTTTTATATATAGTATAGTTATTTATGATAATGTGAGTACAAGAAACTAAAAATCAGGAAAATATTAATCCAATCAAGTCTACTTGAGAACCCAATTTAGAAACCACATAATTGCAGATGTTCCATTCAAAATGAACTAAAACTTTAAATAATTGAAAACTTAAATATATATTTTATTCCCTTGAAAACTTAAAATTCAAACAGGTAAATAAAACCTTCTCAATTGCAATTAATACTTGAAATTAAACCTTTAAAATATTTTACTCCGTTATACTTATTTTTAATTATAGTGCCGGAGATCAGAAGGTTAAGGAGTCTTATAAATATCATTTTTGTCTTTTTATTTTAAAAATACACTATTGACTCTACTTTAATCTAGTTCGGCAAATAACCCATTCCTCAGCGAATAATAAATATGTCTGTTACTCTCTCTCTCTCTCTCTCTCTCTCTCTCTGTGCACCGTTTAAGAAGAGGTTGATCTGTTCGGAGTTATTTTCTCTCTCTTGATTTTCACAGCAATAGGCAAGTTTCATCTAATATGGACTCTCCCAGAAAAGGTCAGCATTCCAAAACTTAGTTGGCTTCGTTTCCAGTACTATTTGGCTCTGTTTTTTTCCCTCTGCTTTCTATTTGATGGTATTTTATTTTTTATGTTGTTAGAAGTCAATCTCTGAATTTGTCATTGTCTTGGTTTTGCCTCCAGTTCAAGCCGGTCTGGGTTCTGTGAGATTCATGCTGTTAGGCACAAATTTTGTTTGTTCCTCTTATTTGTATCAGACTTTTTGAGAGAAGTACCTGATTTGCCTTCCTCCTGGCTTACTTACACAGATCTCTCTCTTTCTCCGTGAGTTCAAGTCATCTCAGAGTTCTCTCTTTTCTCTTATTTTTCAGTGTTTTTTAATGGGTATTTGATATTGTACTTGTTTGTGATTGAAAGCCCCATTGCCGGTCTGGTATAAAACCCTAGAAATTAGTCCCAACTGCTCAAAAAACCCATCTTTTCAAATTCTCAATTTCTAGTTTCAATGATGATGGTTTGTGGGGCATTTAAATTGTTCATCTGGGTTTCATTCATGTTATCTTTGTTAGGCTTTTCTAGTGGATTTAATCCTGCTGATGAGTACCTAGTAGACTGTGGATCACCCACCAACACTTCTGTGGGTGATCGTGTATTCTTGGCCGATAACTCGGCCTCAAGTTTCCTTTCGACCCCTGAAAACATTTTGGGGAATACTTCTTCAAATTCCATCACATCATTTGATGATTCGCAGCTTTATCAAACGGCAAGAATCTTTAATGGAACCTCTAAGTACACCTTTCCGATCAGCCAAAGTGGGCGGCACTGGATCCGCCTTTATTTCTTCCCATTTGTGTATGGGAGTTACAATTTGAGTTCGGCAAATTTCTCTGTTTCCACCCAAAATTATGTACTTCTTACCAATTTCAATCCTCAAGACGCTTCTGTCAAAGAATTCTCAGTAAATGTTACGTCAAGCACCCTTGTAATCACCTTTGCTCCTTCTTCGAATTCGTTTGCCTTCTTGAATGCGTTGGAAATTGTATCGGTCCCTGATGCGCTCATAACTGATGATGCCACTTCTGTAAATCCATCCGAGAAATTCCAAGGCCTGTTTATGCAGGCATTGGAGACGGTTGCCAGGGTGAATATGGGTGGACTGACAGTCTCGTTTAAGAATGATACATTTTGGCGAACTTGGGTTCCTGATCAAAGTTTCTTAGTACAAAAGAATCTCGCTACAAATGTATCAAATGTCAGAGCTGTCAAGTATCCTACAGATGGGGCAACACCAGATATTGCTCCCCCTGCTGTCTATGGTACTGCCACTGAGATGAACTCAGCGGATGATCCCAATAGCAATTTCAATGTGACATGGGAGTTTCCTGTGGATCCAGGGTTTCAGTACCTTGTTCGGTTTCACTTTTGTGATATAGTGAGTATATCTCCTTACCAGCTCTACTTCAATGTTTATATTGATTCCTGGAATGTTGCTCCGGACCTTGATCTGAGTGCTAGAACACTTGGCATTCTGGCCACGGCATATTACATGGATTTTGTCACAGTGTTAGCAGATAGCGGTAAACTTCGTGTAAGCATTGGCCCATCCTCCGTTAACAATGCTTATCCTAATGCCATTCTTAACGGACTGGAGATTATGAAGATGAACAGTTCCATTGGCAGCCTCAGTGGGGCCTCTGTGGTGTCTTCCTCAATCCCAACCTCCAAGAAGAATGTCAACGTGATAGTGGGTGTGAGCATCAGTTTGTTTGTTGTGGTGGTGTTGGCCGGCATTCTGTTTTTTATGTACAGAAGAAGAAAACTTGCACGTCTTGAACATTCAAAAACATGGGTTCCTTTATCCATGAATGGTGGCACTTCCCACACTGTGGGAAGTAGATTCTCTGATGGAACAACTGTTAGTGCTGGTTCTAACTACGGGTATCGCTGCCCTTTTGCTGCTGTTCAAGAAGCAACAAACAACTTTGAGGAGACTCTGGTTATTGGAATTGGTGGTTTTGGGAAGGTTTACAAGGGAGTTTTATCGGATGGTACAAAAGTGGCTGTTAAAAGGGGTAATCCACGGTCCCAACAAGGTCTTGCCGAATTCCAAACTGAAATTGAGATGCTATCTCAGTTCCGCCACCGCCATTTGGTTTCCTTGATTGGGTATTGTGATGAGAAGAATGAGATGATATTGATTTATGAATACATGGAGAATGGGACCCTCAAGAGTCATCTCTATGGCTCGGGTCTTCCCAGTTTGAGTTGGAAGGAGAGGCTTCAGATATGCATTGGTTCAGCCAGAGGACTTCACTACCTTCACACTGGCTATGCAAAGGCAGTTATTCATCGTGATGTCAAGTCTGCAAACATATTACTTGATGAGAATTTTATGGCTAAAGTTGCTGACTTTGGGCTTTCAAAGACTGGACCAGAGATTGATCAGACTCATGTAAGTACAGCGGTGAAAGGGAGTTTTGGGTATCTTGATCCTGAATATTTTAGAAGACAACAATTGACAGAGAAATCAGATGTGTATTCATTTGGGGTGGTTTTGTTTGAAGTTCTTTGTGCAAGGCCTGTAATAGATCCATCACTCCCAAGGGAGATGGTGAATCTAGCTGAATGGTCAATGAAGTGGCAGAAGAGGGGGCAGTTGGAGCAAATAATAGATCCTAATCTTGTTGGGAAAATAAGACCAGATTCTCTTAGAAAATTTGGGGAAACAGCGGAGAAATGCTTGGCCGACTATGGTGTTGACAGGCCCTCTATGGGAGATGTCTTATGGAATCTGGAGTACGCACTACAGCTTCAAGAGGCAATTCTCCAAAATGATCCTGATGAAAACAGTAGTATTGTCATTGGCGAGCTGTGTCCACTGGTCAGTGACTTTAATCCTGTTGATGCAAGTGCTTCAGCTGCTCAGTTTGAATTGTCAAACGTAGATGAACTTTCAAATGCTTCAATGAGTAAGGTGTTCTCACAGTTGGTGAAATCTGAGGGTAGATAATCGAATGAAGATGGTATGTAATATGGGTTGAGCTCCTCTTTGGTTAACGTCTTTCTTGTTCATCCTCACCAACCACTGCTCGCCGCATCAGGGTGCACAAAAATGTTAACTGGCATACCTTGATGTGGCTTGCTGCAATTGCCCATTAGCTGAAATTAAGAGGGGTTGTGCCCATATTATGTGGCTATTCATTAGTGTAGGCTTCTATAAGAGACTAGATTCATCACTGTAGGCTTCTATAAGAAACTAAATTGTTGATGGAGTTTTTCAGCAATCAAACTACGTCTGCATTCTGAATTCTATTCAGAAGGGGTGAGGTTTAGCGAGTTTATGCCGTCGATTTTTATTACAATGTTACAATGTTGTTGTAAGTTGCTTTGTTGTGTTATATCTTCAATTATGTTAACTGTTGGTTTTAATAATGCATCTTCTTCTGCTTCTGCAACTGCATTTGTGCTTCTTGACCGTGATTGATAAGTTTCTTCTTCAATAATAATAAAAGGTAGGGTATGATGACTTCTTCTCAATTATTATCACATCATGTTTTCGTCTTTTTTGGGGGTACAATATTATAAAATAAAGATTAGGGCAATTTTTTTTTTTTTTTAAGAAGTACTCCGTAATTATATTGCAAAGGTTTTATTTTATTTTATTTTATGGGGGGTGTGGGCCCAACATGACGTGATCGTATCGTGATGGAATTATTGGAACTCACAATGAAAGGACCCTACGGAGTAATATTTTTTAATATTTTAAAATGATGGTTTATAATTTCAAAAATATTATCTCCAGCGTGTCAAAAACATTATGAATAAGCCATTTAATGATCAAATTAACTGCGCACTTGCAGAAAAACATTTACTACTACTATTGGAAAATGATAAGTGTGGTAGGCATCATTAACCACCCATTCTGGACATGGGGCTTTCTGCAAAAACAGTACAACATACTTAAAACCTTCTAACCGTACGTTGGATTTAATGTTTTTTTTATTTTTTTGGTACTTTTGCTTGCTATTCAATTAAAGGAGGAATAAATTAATTAATTAAAGGTCAACACAGATCCATATTAGTTCATAGTGTTATGGTGGAAAAAGAAAAAAGAAACAGAAAAAGAAGAAGAATTTGAAGAAGTAGAAGGGGAAAAAAAGAGAAAAAAAGAAAGGAAAGAAAAATGACAAATTTTAGAAGAAAAAAAATCAAAGTTTAATTTAAAAACGAAAGAATAATTTTTTTTAAGGAATTTAAAGAGAGAAAAGAGAAAAGAAGAAAAATATAATTAATAATTTTAGAAACTAATAATTTTAAGGGGCATTAACTTAAAAAATTCATATATTTATGCATAATTTTTTTTTCACCATATATATTTAATGCGTGGGCCAGGCGGGGGCATGTGCTGGCTCCGCCCATGCTAATTGCAGTCCCATCAGTAACTAAACTAGTTTTCTAAAATTACTAAAAATAAATTATTATTGCCACCCAATTATTTTTTGGGTCCGTCCCAGAAATTGAGCCCAGTTGGGAACTAGATTGAAAAAATTATTCACTCTGATGCATCAAACTAAATAAATAATAATCAATTTCTCGTTTGTTTCTGGTTTGTCGTTTAGCTCCGCAAGCATCATCAATGTACATGCTACGTTGACAAATGTGGTCCACACTAATATAGAGTTATTTTCACTCTTTCCTGTGCTAAGCCGCCATGCTCTACTCGAGGATTATTATGTAAATATATAAATTTTGATGTCATACCAGTATTAATGTGGTACACACAGACGCAGAATATTGACGAGGACATGTACACTAATCTTCACTTCAAGAAAGACTGAATTTTAACCAATTTTTTATAAGAAAAGACAAGATAATTAGTAGTATATAATATATATGGCATTAAGCCTACACAGATTTGATTACTGGGTATTATTAATCTTCTGAAATTAAAAAAAAAAAAAAGCAAATTGAGAAGTTTTGTGATCAACTTCTAACCACATCAACCACCTTGGTGGTACAAGATAGCAACCTGCGAAAGATGAACAAGGCGGCAGCACATGACACCTCCTTGGCCCTCCCAATCACTGCACACTTCCGACGACGACGAGGACGACCACCACGACCACCGTGAGACACTTGATTTCTTCTATGAAGAATTAGTACTCTCTGTCTAACTCTGCCAAGACACTTTTTGATCCTCTCAGACGCACTTTCTTTCCTCGTAAACGTGTAGCTTTTAAGATACAAGCGCCTGCACGACACACTGTCCACCACCCTATGGTTACGGCGGCCGTTAGAATTCACTGAAGACTCCGGCCACTGGTACAGGTTGGCGTTGGTGGCCCGAACCGGGCGGCGCCATCCGGCGTCGTCCACGCCGGTTGATCTGCACTCATAAGCCATCTTTGCTTGCGAGTGGGTCTGATTTCGTTAGTGGGTTCTCTATATACTACTATCAAGGAGACCTTAGAATGCAAGAAAAATAGAGAGAGAGTGGGGCGGCGGATGTGTTGGGAATTGGGACTTTAGGGCGTCATATGTTTATACTTTTAAATTGCAATTTAATATCAATTTGAAAGTTACCAAAGGTTCTCTACCGTGGACAAAGAGTGTTAAGTGAGTGTATTTTTTTTTTGTTAATAAAATAATAATAATTTAAAATTTTAATTACAAAAATATAATTTCTTTTTATACCATTAAAGCTAAAAATAGTCTTGGCAAATAGTAACTGGTTCTTGGTGTTGACTCTCGTATTTTTGTCATTTAAAAACTAGGAATATTAAATACAGTTGCTCGAGAGCTAATGTCCTTTTATAGTCATTATTCTTATTGGCTACTTTTAAATTCATTAATTCTTTGTCTTCTTATTTAATAGGATACCAAAAATATGTATTTTTTTAAGACAAAAATACAGTTCCTCTTTTATTCTTTTTGCTGTCTTGGTTGACGTGTACATATATATATATATTTACTTGCGTGTATATATGTATAAATAATTAGGTAGCCTTTTATTATGATAATTATTCCTTATCAAACTTTCCTTTACCTTTAAATTGTAGTTTTAATTTTTATATTTTTCGTGAAAACATCCCATAGATTAAAACTCAATTTCACGATTTTATTTGATTAAACTTAATTTCATAATTTTACATTAATTAAAACTCAATTTCATAATTTTACATTAATTAAAACTTACAATATTAAAGATCCACATTTAATGTGTATGTATGTATATAATACAATATAATATAAGGTTGGCCTGATATTATATGTGACGTAGTATAATATTATATAATATAATAGAAAGAATACATAGGCCTGAATACATTCATAGAGTAATGTTGCCTCAATCGATATATATGGAAAAAAATCTTTATTAGTTGCCAAAAAAAGGGGCTTCGACCTTCCAAAAAAAAAAAGAAAAAAAAAAAAGAAGGAAAAGAGGAATACTACTAGTAAAGATTAGCTATATATATATATATATATATATAGACACACACACACACACAAATACATACACAAATACCATATGAATAATGAGAAGAGAGAATAAAGGTTTAAAAAGGATATTTTTGTTTAAAAAAATTGTATGTTTTTAGTGTTTTATTAAATAAGGAGACAAGTAATTAATGAATTATAAATAACCAATTGGAACAATGGTAAAAAGGCAATCGTATTCATCTTTACCTTTTATTTTTTTTTTATTTTTTTTTTAGAGAAACACCTGAACAAAGCATGCCTCACACGTCTCACCAAAAATTTTTACTTCCCAAAATGCTTCTCCCCAAAATGACAGTCTTACTGGGAGATTGAAAAAGCATACAAATAAATGATGATATGAGGTACAATGGCTTGAACATGTGGCTTTTAAAAAAATAAATAAATATATGAGCATGTGGATGGTTGCTTCTTTTTCATGAACAAATAAATTACTTTATCTTGTTAACCAAAAATAACTTAATAGCCACGTTAATTTTTCATGAACAAATAAATTAGTTTACCTTGTTAACCAAAAATAATATAATAAGAAAAATATATATATAAATTTGAGTGACTACGAAATCAGATCAATATTAAATTGAAAACATATAAAATTGAGTCGGCAAAAAACAAATAATATATACAATAAATATTAGATACATTTTTATTATTATTATTATTATTATTATTACAACTTCAATTTTATATGTTTTTTGCCGGAACAAATATATATATATATATATATATATATATATGAAGTCAAGTATATTATATATCATGCAAACTTCCCGAAGAAAACAAAAGGTATATTATCATGCATATTAAGCTTTTATCTTGATTTTATTTTATGGTTTTTACATGGGATATCTGACAGTTCCTTTGTGATATAAAATAGATAAATCTAAGAAATCTCATCATAGATGGCATCCTCGTACAGAGTCTCTTTTTGTTTTCCCGTAGTATTTACAGGGGGCATGGATGTCTGCTATGTTAGAATATTGGGTTAATTTTTGTCACACTCAAAATAATTTTTTCGATAGTAACACCGTTAAAAACATAAGACAATATAATTTTACGCACACAAATAAAGAAAGGCGGAAGAAATCATGGATATAAATGAAGTAGAGTATATCTATTAATAGAAATATAGGAGAATACGTGAAGTTTTACCAATTCCCACAATTATGGTTAGATATATATTTAATACGGAAGTAATAGAGGGGGTAAAAATGTGACATAAGGATAGAAATTAGAATTTGTAATAGAGAGTGAAATGAAAATTTTTAAAATAAATAATATTCTTTTGGACACATTAATATTAAATCTCCTATAAATAAATAAATTAGTAGATAAAAGAAAATAAAAAAATTTGATATATAAATAGATACATTTGTCTTATTCAAATAAGTTGCCGAAGGCTCCACTGCCTGAGTGGAGGAGGTCGTCTTTGTCCAAGCAGATTGCATCAATCAAAGACATGATGCTAAATGTGAAATGTCTCTTATTCAATCTCATTTTCTCCTCCGATTGGGCTCTAATAATCTAAGAGGAAAAAAAAAAAAAATCTGCTACTATGACTTGAGCCCTTAGGCGACTGCTTAAGTTGTTGAAGGCTCCACCAGCCCTAGTGGAGGAGGTTGACTTTGTTCAGGAGAGATAACATCAATCAACGACATGATGTTATATGTGAAATGTCTCTTAACCAATCTTATTTTTTAAATAAATTATATTTTTTTGGACACATTAATATTATATCTCCTTCATTTGGGGTCTAATAAAATAATAATAATAATAATAATAATAATAAACTATGACTTGAGCCCTTAGGCGATCGTTTAAATTGCCGAAGGCTCCATCGGCCCTAGTGGAGGACGTCGTCTTTGTTCAGGAGAGATTGCATCAATTAACGATAAGATGTTATATGTGAAATGTCTCTTACCCAATCTCATTTGAGTCGATCTAGAGTCATTCTCTTTATTTTTATTTTTTTAATTTTTAAATAAAAATACGTATTCATTTATAATTGATTCACATCAAATATAAAATAGTAAACGTAGCGGGTAAGATGAGAACATAAGAATGGACGTTTTTTTCTTTATTATTACACAAACAGAGCAAACAAAACTCAAATTCTTTGATTAAAAGATACAAAAAGTTTTATCGGTGTGATACAGCGGGTTGAGCATGTCAATTGTTCTACGGTTTTGGGTAAAACATGAGCATGTGAATTGTTGCTTCTTAACTACCTTTAACTTTTCATGGAGAAATAAATAACTTTACCTTGTTAACCAAACATAACACGGAGAGGAAAAAAAATAAAATAAAATAACAAACAAACAAACATTGTGATAATTTTGAGTCACTACGAAAACACATCGAGATTGAAATGAAAATAAACACATTACAGATGATGATAATTTGGAGTCACTATTAATTAATGATGATGATGATATAGGTGATAATAGTAAAGGAACAAAAAGTAATTACACATATTTCCTTTACTAAATCCCAAAGTGGTCCTGTATTAACGCGAACTAATCCTGATTAATTATTACCTTAATAGCCGATTATATAATTATCATTCTTTAGGTCAAATTAATTTAATCCCATAAAGCTCATAATAAAGCGATTAGTGATGTCCATATTTATCTCTCACTCTTAATTCATAAGCAAAATACCCTATGGTATGGTTTTATTCACTTTCGTGAAGTCCAATTATTCCTAAAGCGGAATAGAATTTTATCGTTCTCTGGGTCAAGCATTTATTACTCTAAACTTAGTCTACTCAGTGAATATATATATATCTATATTAAGTTACATATTAATATTTTTTTATTCGTTGGCTTAATAGGTAGAAAGTCTCTCCCAACAGGTATTTCCATTCTCCTAATTTGTCATAAAATAAAATAAAATTTTATGAGAGCCATATTTTTTCATCAATATATAATCAAGTTAAATAAACTTATGCAAATGTACTGAATGGTTCGGTTCTCCTCGTATTCGGGAGCTCATAGAGTCCATCAGATAAAACATGTAAAATAACTTGTCGAAAATTAATTAGTAATTTATTTTTGTTAGATTTTAATATATATTTTTTTCATAAATATTTTATTACTTCCAAACATCAAAATAATAAAATAATATTTTTAAATATATATTTTACATTCAAATAAACGGAACCTAAATAAACTTATCAAATTTGTTAGGCATATTAAATAAATAAAAAGGTTAATGTCTACTCCATCACCATGACGACAATTTCTTTAACAAAATAATAATTAGATTAAAACAATACTTGAAGCATAATATTAATAGAAAAGTTCTGAACTTATCTTAGTAATATTTTAAGAACGTGACAAGAAAGATATCCGAATTTAATAATTAGATTACTACTTGCATATAATTAGATTCGGTTTGATTTTGTTCGAGTCCATTATATTATGATTCTAAGACTCTAAATTGTGATTTGTACCAAAGCCAAGGGTGGAGTGGACTTTAGCCCACAAAAAAAAATAAAAATTATTAGAAATAATTTTAGTCCAGTCCAAAAAAAATTTGTTTTAATAATATAAACCAACTCCGTATTAAATTAATACACTCCCTTAGTCCATTATGCATTTTTTGACCCGTCCTTTACCAAAGCCCATCCTCCACTCCACGTGAGAAATACTCCATGCTTTATTACCATTTTCTCTTTTACTCCACAACATAACAAAATGAAAGTACAAACAAAGAAAAGAATTAAATTGAGTCTTAACTACGAGAATTGAAAAGTGACCAACCATACCAGCTCCATTAATTTTGGGTTTTTTTTTTTTTTTTGCAATTTTAAGCAACTGATATATAAAAGGAATATTAATTAAATTAGTGGTAAATAGCCCATGGCCATAAACAAGCAAGAAGCCCAGACAAAGGAGCACAAAAATTGAATGATACTAATATATTATGTTAAATTTTATAAATAAAATAAAATTGTCATTTTATAAGTGTATGTCAAAAACAAAAAGTAAGAAAAAATAACAATAAAACATCAAGAGTATATTGTTATTAATACACTTGAATTGTCATAATTAAATTAAATAAAAAAATTAGCTCTATAAATAAAAGAACATTTTCTCAACAGTTGAATGGATTAATAGAAATATTTCCTTAACCTTAAAACACAATCTTTCAAGAAAGTTAATAAAAAATTAGCTTAAAAACTGTTTAAAATCTTTTTTACCACTCTTTATTTACAAACAAGTCTAAAATCATTGGTTGTTACAAGAAGACCATTCACCCTTAATCATTTCAATAAAAAAATTAAAAAAAAAAAAAAACACCACTGAAACATAAACAAGAATCGCAAAATTGATTTGCAGCAGCAAAACATGTGAACACAAACAAGAACACTCTTACTGCTAGTAATATATATATATAAGAAATGATCCGAAGTATTTCAGACATTGCATCACAAAGTTGGTCTTGCAAAACTAGTGAGAGAATTAGAAAAAAGAAGCACAAAACAACGAACATAACACTTTAATTACAAGTCCAATAAAAAGAAAGAAAACACAAATCCCCCAAAAAAGTTTTCCACTTTCTTGACAGCAAGACTTTTCTGACACAAAAACCCTAACCACCAAACCCATAAAGGGTCCTCCCCTGCCTTTTGAGAGCATAGACAACGTCCATGGCGGTCACAGTCTTGCGACGAGCATGCTCGGTGTAGGTCACAGCATCACGAATCACATTCTCCAGGAAGATCTTCAGCACTCCACGTGTCTCCTCGTAGATCAGACCGCTGATACGCTTCACGCCTCCCCTGCGAGCCAACCTCCTGATGGCTGGTTTGGTGATGCCCTGAATGTTGTCACGAAGGACCTTACGGTGTCGTTTCGCTCCACCCTTTCCCAATCCCTTGCCTCCCTTTCCACGTCCTGACATTTTCCGATCACGTCAGAGTCTAACTCTTCCTGCTTTCTCTAAATCAACAAAACCAATCAGCAATTAATTAGCCAATTTACACGAATATATATCATTGTTATGTATTTATGAGCCTGACCTAGTGAAAATGGGAAAATGTAATGTAGATTGCGATTCAAATTGCAAAAACCCTAGCTGTTCAAAAAATTGTTAAATCTTCTGTTTTCAGAGAAGTCGCTAGACTTGAAACAATCAATTCACAGAATTCGAGAAAGACAGGGAGATTACACAGTTTGTACAAGGATATACTGACAAGTACTGAGATTAATCGATGCACTAAAACACTAATTAGGAGAACATTAATATAGAAGCTAATATTAACTGAATTGCAGATGGAGTAGTCTATGAAGTTGATCATTTATTAACAATAAACAGAAATTAGTTACACATATGACATACAAAAATACATACATGTATATGTGAGTATATATTATACATTTAGAGAGAAAGGGGGAGAGAGGAATAACCAGAGAGTTGGAAATCTTATATTCAGCGAGACAAAGAGAAAGCCGATTAGGATTGATTACGGGGGTGCTCGCTTATTAATAGGGGGGTGATGGGTCGTGGTGTGGGTTAGGTTTCAATCCTGGACTAAGAGTTTTCAACCGTTGATTAACTCCTGCAGACGGTGCAGATGAGACTGTGAAGCTACACGGATAGGTGACGTTTCATGGGACGCCATTCATTTTGTGTTTCTTTTGAATTTCAGATTGTACACTATACTTGTATTTCGCAACGCCGCGGGAGGATTCCCGCCACTGATGGAAAAGTTGTCACGTGACAGATGTGGTGGGCAATGACGTAATGTATTGAAGACCTAACCCAACTACTACTAACCTTAACCACCAACCCGTTTGGAGAACTTTTTGGGTCACCCTTTACAAGAGTGAGATTGTGGTTAAAGCCATTCGAGTTAGATATTTTGTGAATCAATGAAACGTCTCCAAACTTTTTAGCTCACCCTTACAAGAGTGAGGTTGTGGTACAAGCCATTCGAGTTTGATATTTTGTGAAAAGCGTGTATTTGATAACGCACTTTAAATATCTTTTAAAATTGAAGTGTGACAATTCAGTTTTATGTGATAAAATTTTTGCACGACTTTGATAATTAAGGTACTCAAGCAGTAACCATATTGCAAAAAGAATCGTATTATTTTCAAATGATGAAAATTGAAGATATTAATTCAAATTACTTGTTGAATTACTTTTAAATTGGGATTTTTTGTGTTATTTTTCTTGACCAATGCATGTTCCAGCATGCAATGATGCAATTGATCCTTTTTTGAGGAGGAGAGAGAACCCATTCCTGATTTCTTTCTTTTCCCTTCAAATTCGGTGCAAGGCATGGGATAAAGTAGTTGTCAACACGTGAGTGACACTATTCATTCTCTCATTTCTAGCAATCGGTCATTCTATCAGTTGCATTCCAGAAAGACCATTACTCTCTAGTGTCAACAACAGTAAAAATCTACTCATTCCCAAAACAAAATTGGCTATTGCAGTTTGCGAACTCTGAAAATCAATTCCCAAAATTGCCACCAACTCCTCTGATCAGTGATTACCAACGGTGTGTATCAGAAATTTATAAAACAGAAGCATCACAGGTGATAACCTAAATCATAATTTTACAGTTCAATTTCATTTTCATAGAGATTTTGAATATAAGTATGAATTATATAGCAGAGTCATCCAGTATTTAAAGTTCCAAATACAAACTAGGTACAAAATATTCTTCTTGGTCAGTCATGCAAGCGATCTTTTACGGCACAATTTGAATGCATGTCTCCATTCTCCAAGCAATTTCTATAGAGATTTGAATGCATGTCTCCATTCTCCAAGCAATTTCTACAAGAGGTTTTAATGCATGTATCTGATAGAAGCGTCAAAATGACGAGTCCAAAAAAAAAAAAAAAAAAAAAATTTGTAGCAAGTCAATGAGAAAGAACAAGGTCGTCACTCAGCAGCAGAGTATTGGCAATATATGATTAAGCAAATTTTGAAGTGGAGCTTATTCAACAAATTAAGAATCAGAAGCTCCAAATTACTGTCTGCAGCAGTTTGCACAGACTTACAGCTCTCATTGAGAACCATACCGTGTTAGTACCACAGATGCAGAGACCAAATCCATATCGAATAGCTGTGTTAATGACTGCTAATTCACAGTACATATAATATTAATGTGACCACTATTTGACCCTTCCAGGCCTTGAGACAAAGAAGGAACGTCGAACAAGAATCTTTTGAGCATCGGTCAACAGAACAAGTAAAAACTTCTTGTAATATATGAGGAAAGGACATGTTCAGGTAAGAGAATTAATAGCCAATTCTAAGGACAAGCATCTTTAGAACAGGCTAAAATAATAATAATAATAACTATAATGCTCCCCTTAACACATTTACATAGAGAAAGGATTCTACAACATGGAATTTCACAAACTTTCTCAATTCAAAAGGAGCAATGAACTCTATTTTAAATTGATCTAATACCTGAGGATTAAAAAAAAAAAAAATTGAAACAGGGAGAGAGAGAGAGTATGTGGGTTGCTGCAGAAGCATGGGATATTCACCTGTTGTAAACATATTATTTAGCCTCAACAAGTTGACTATTCCACAATTTCATGCTAAAATCAATTTACATTCAAACTATCATACCTTCATTTATAAAACACCATTAATGAATGGATGGAAATGACCACGGCGCTGAAATACGTGGTCTCTTAAACCTGCAACATAAATTGGTATTCTTTGTTAGAAATTAAATGAATTGAGTAACAATTACCAAGAAAACCAAATGAGAAAAGGAAAAAATTAGTTAAATTCATTAAAGAACATTGAAGGAGAGAGAGAGAGATCTTTTTAGTCATGTTCAAGAGCTGCAAGCCTGTATTTTTTAGAACTTGTATATTTCAAGCAAAACCAATACATACAATGGCACTTACTAATTATGTTACATGGACTCATCAAAAGTACACTAAGTACCCATGTCAAGCGCACAGTACTCAGAAATGGGTTTGGGATATGTGTCAGACACGTTTGGTTAGACAAACATGAAACAACGAAAAAGCATATCCAAATAATTCAATTTTATCACATTATTGCATCAAAACAAGTTAAATGCCTTGTGGAACGCTATGCGAAAAAAAACTTTATTTCACTCTAGAAATAAAAAATATATATTTACTAATATTTTTTTTGATACGTAATATATATTTACTAATATGAATATCTGTGAGAGTCTCTGCATCCTTTTGTTTGGAGATTTGATATTGATGTGGTTTGGATACTTACCCACACCAGACACAAAACTGAATCCATGTAAGATGGCTTACCAAAACAACTGAATAAAATTCAAGGTCAACAAAACGGAATAATAAAACGGAATTTAACCTCATTTGCCTTCCTACATAAGAAAAAAGCGAGTAGGAGCAAGAAGCTGCTCGAAGAGAATGTATTGCGTCGGGAAGGTGACAAACCATTCCAAATTTAATGATGGAAATACAATGACTATCTGAAGACAAATGCAACAGAAAAAAAGTGTCAAACCATGAGGAAAATTCCATGCAAACGATGGGATGGCAATGGTTGTACATTGGAGAGCATTCTTTTTTTCTAACTAAAAACTCATACACATGTTACAATCAGATTTGCAGACCCTACTCCCCCACCCCCACAAAATGGATAACAGGAAGCACTCTAAAGCTAAAAGCTAGTTGTATAATGGTTCAACTCGATAATCTTTTTACTTGAGTGAATAAATCAATCTTCTCTAAAACCATTTTGCACAAGATACATGTACAGACATTGGGGTTTCTTATAACATAAATTAAATCACAACGACCAAAGCACCATAGCTGACTAGTCCTCACAAAAACGTCCTGGCCATCTGACAACAGGTAACTCTAATAACACAACCAAAAAATTAAAAAATTCCTGTACAACAGAAAAACCAAATTATTGGTAACAAATAAAAATAAGATTACAGCTATGAAGCCAGAAGGCCAGCAGATGTTCTCTGATCAGGCTGTCATCGAACAGAAATGTTAGGCAGCTGGGCAAGAAGGCAAACTAAATGCTTCATATGTAATGGAATACCAGGTAGAAAAATCAATTCTTTTATAAATTATTTTATACAAGGCAGTCAGAAATAGGCACAGGAAACTTAAAACTACCTGGAGAATTTCTCAAGATTAGCTTCCATTTAAAGGTTCTCTGCCAAATGCTTCATCATCAAAATCTTCATTAGTGGAATTTTCTTGACATAACAATTTGTTATCCCCCATGGGATTCAAGTCAAGAGCGCCCCACCCCATTGGATGACCCCGATGTATGGCACCTCCTTCGTATCCATGATTAATGTCGACACTATCCTCTACATTATAGCTACCATCGTAATGCACATGCTCCACTCTCTTATCGTCATCTGTGCAAGACGGCTCAACATTAAGATCAGAGCTCAACTCAAACCCAGTTTGTTCCCCGGCCCCATGATAAGCCACTGTCACTGTTCCCTGGTCAAATGGCTCAGCAGCTTCTTTCTTCTGCCTCTTCCATTTCTTTGTAGATGAAGTCCCATCATCCTCAAAATCTTCTTCTTCCCTTTCTCTATGTAAATAAACCCACAATTTCCTTTCCCCATCAAATTGAACACATGGATCACGTTCATAATGCAGCCGGTCCAATGCTCCACTGACGACTTGATTGACTTGTGCATCAGAGACATCTTCCACAATATATTGTGAGTCTCTAATCAAAGTACAAACATCTGCTCTGGTACCAATACTTCCAGGCAATCTTGCTGCTGCATCTCTTACAAGACAGAGGATTGTAACATGAGGAGGCCGATCACGTTTCAGCATAAAATGATCTCGGGCTTTTGATGTCGGCTTACCACCACACCGTCTCAAAGGAGCAACGATGGATTTTCTACCATCAACAGCTGTGTAAGAGAAGGCCCTGTCAGGAATAGAATACCTAAGAACTTCCTCCTTACGGAAATAATCTCTGACTTCTTCAGAGCTTGGATTGATGGTTGTGAGACTCTTCTGAGCTCTTAGGTCCCTGAACCTTTCCTTCTCATCCAAGTTAAATTGCATCAGCGTCAGAGGTGGGGCGGGAAGACTTCCTATTTGTTGAAGGGTCTCTTGACCACTTTTCAGCCAATTAGCAAATGAGTCAACTAACTTCACAAGCATTTTGTGGGGAAGTCCCCAAGCTTCAGGAGATGTAACCTCCTCAATCGCCTCATGATCTGGTGAACTGCTAGAAACCGGACCAAGCCAGGACCAACTTTTTGTAGATTTTTCATAGAATACAAGTGCCTTCCACCCTTTTGCCCCTAAAGGTGCCGTTTTGGATGAAAATATTTTCAGAACTCCTCTGACCAAATCCTGAAGTGGTTCTTGAGTTTCAAGAATACAAGGATCTCCAGGGTTTGATCTCAGGCGGTTAACAATTTCCTGGACAGTAAGAGAAGGTACATTCATTTGCCCAGAATGCTCTGAGTTACTGATATCCAAGTTCCCATGTGAATGAACCCCATTGTTGCCTTCTTGCTTTCTATCTTGCGCCCTGGGTGCCTTTCTTCCATCAACATCTAAAGAATCTTCTGGAAGCATAGTAATCATTGCCATGCGAACTGCTGAAAGAAGATGTATGATGGAGAATGAGAAGCCAGAATGAACTGTAGGCGTAATCAAAGTAAAAGGCTTTTTCTGTGGTTTGGATTCCAGCTCCATATCTGCTGCTCTCGTTTCTGTAAGAGGTGGCTCAGGTCTTCCTATTTCAAAAGTACCACTTTCATCTTCCAATTTCCTTTTTCCACGTCTCTTCAAGGAACTGATTTCATCAACTTGCTGGTGAAGGTTAGAGTGCCGGTAATCACTATCATCTCGCTCATCCATGTATGTCACATCCTCCTTTATTTTTCGCTTCTTTGTCACTGAATTACATCCTAATAATGGGATATCAGATCTTTCACGATGATCATCTGCAAATGCTTCAGTCATTCGAACTTTCTTTCCCAATCTACCAGTAACTCCACTGTCCTCTGCCAACTGGCGTGTTTCAAGTGAATCATCATCCTCGTCGACCATGTAATCACGAGAGAAATTTGACTGAAGGCCAGAATAGTCACGTCCAACTTCCCCTTTCTGCCTTCTCTCTGCAGGGTAGGCTCTCAGCACGGGTATGTGGAACTTTTCACTATGCTCCCCTTGCAGCTGGCCATTCTTCCCCAACTTGTCATATTGTCTCCCATCATCATCACCAGTAAACCTAACTGATCCGGAAAAATAGCTGTCTCTTGTGGCAGAATTATGCAAGTTACTGCTATCATGCATCTTACCCTTCTGCTTTGCTTTCAAAGGGTAGTTTTCTACTTCTGGTAAATGTAACTGTTCAACACGATCAGCTGTCTTTCTAGAGGAGCGTGATAATCCATCAAAAGTCCGAGCACTACCCTTTTTATCTTTCTTAACAAATTTAGCCTTTTTAGGATCTGAACCAGATTTCATGCTAGAAGAATGATAACTTTCCAAGACACCACTGGGGTAGGCTAACTTACTCCTCATCAAAGGATTGTCGTCCTCGCCTTCATCAATTTGCTCCGATGAGTCCGATTCTGTTTCCTCACTTTTGTTGAACATTCCAGTACCTTTCAATGCTGCCATGTCTCGCCCTCCATTCTGCCCCAATATGGCTCTGACCTTGTCGTGTGACGGCTTTGCTCGATACTCGGCATTAAGCAACACATCATTAACTTTGAGATCAGGAGAATCTCTCCCAATCTTCCACTTCTTGCTTTTAATATTTCGGTCACTGTACTGAAATGACTGATCAACAGCGAAAGCTTTTCCTTGCGCCTTGTCATGCCAAAATGGTTCACCTCCATCAGACAGCTCAATTCTACTTCCTCTCTGTAAATTTGGAGATCGGCCTTTCAAATACTTCATCTGATCCTCGACTGCAAATTGTTGAACATTCTCAGGATACTTTACTTTTTTGCCATAACCATAGGAAATTCTAGTATTAGACGGCCTTGCAGTTAGGACCTCAATATCTGACAACTGATTCACAGTCTTTTTCCCACCATAGGCACGGAAATCATTCTTTGAAGACGTAGGGAAATTCATGAAACTTTCACTGACATTGTGGTCACCTCTCAGATTTTCATGCTTTTTCCCTAATTTAGAAGCCCCAGCTTTATCCATTGCATTAACTCTTAAGAAATTTGGATCTCTCTGATTAGCCAATGCATACAGTGCTTCTTCTGCGTCATCGTCATCTCTCCTCTGATCCCTCACACGGACTGCTGCCACTGAATCATACCCTGTTGTCTTATTCTTACGAGGATGAACAAAAGCTGAACTGTATGGCCCCAGCTTCGTTTCCAAACCATGCTGAATAGCAGGCAAGCGACCCACTAAATCTTTCGTTGAAGAAGTCTTCGATCCAGCCAACTTCAATGTTCCTTTAGGATTCTGTTTCCAATATTTTGCCGGTTCCAAGTCCATCAGCCCCCCCTGAGAAGGAAACTCTAAGGTTGAACCTGCCCGATACACGGAATGATGACCCATTTTCTGACCAAGTTTCCGATCCTTCAGCTTTTTACTCCACAGAACATCCCCTGATTCCTCTCTTTCAGATGAGTCAGTCTCCAACTCCTCCATCTTTTCATACATTAAACTCTTTTCGCTCTTCATTATATTCAGTATACGAAGCTTCTCTTCTATGCTATATCCCCTGCAATTAATCCAAGCATCCCTTATCTGACAAAAACTAGAGAGCATAGAGTTTTGATGCTTCCATAATAGGTGGTAGTGTTGGCGTATCTGAAAAAAACTCAAACCTTGCCGATAGAGAGCAACCCTCGGTTCGCACAGCCCTCCCTTCAACATTTCAAACAGCTTACTAATGGGACTCCCAAAATGAAGATTACAACCCGTGAAGATCTCTTTCAAGGTTCGCATAAATGACTCTTGGTCCATATCTGGAAGGTACTTTGTGAGGTAAAATCGCTCTTCCTCAGTCAAGCAATCGTTCCACACATCCATAGACAACACATCGCCCAAACCCGGAAGATCATACAACTCAAAGGGAATGCTACAACTCTGATCCCCTACTTTACAGAACTCCTCGCCAGTTTCCCCCAATTCTAGCAAATCAAAGTCGTCTGATCCCGCGCCAGAGTCACAGTCATCAAATTCATCATCGTCATCCGATTCGACTGCCGAGTTTCGTCTCTGCGGCTCGTCATCATCACTTGACATACTCTCCCTACTCCGAGGCGAAAACTCCGAATCAAATCTGGAGACCTTGAAGCTATTCTTTTCAATCGCCATTCAACATAACAACTGAAAACACCGTAATTAACACTACAGTAACTCAAAAAGACACCTTTCTCTATCCAAATTTAGAAATTCTCAACCTGTATCCAAAAAAAAAAACCACAATAAAAACCCTAGCTATATCATCACCAACAAAAGCACAAACTCTCAATTATAAATCCAACAATGCAATACATATGTATATAAATTCACAGAGAGCAAAAAAAACACCAAATTTGAAACGATTCAAAAACATTTACACATACCCATACATACAAAAACTGAGATTGGATCGAAAAATACCTCAGAATCGTAGAAATTACAGGCTCAGCTGGGTGTAGGTGGAGAAAAAAGAGGATCGAACGGTGGTGTTGAGAGAAATCATAGGCAGTGACTGAGTAGAGAGAAGGGCGTGGGTGTGGCGTAGCGTCCCCCCTTTTTGGAATTTGTTGAGTCAGTGGAAACCCTAGAAAGAGAAAGGGGACGAGGCGGTTATATATATGTGAGGTTGCAGGATAAAGAAGAAGACGACGGGACGTGGAGAGATACAGGCCGTCTGATTGGGGGATATGTTGAAAAAGACGAAAAAGGGCAGGAGAGGAGAAAAGAGGAGATGAGGAGAGAGAAGGTGTGTTCGTGCAGAGAGAGAGAAAAGGGTTTGTTGGGGTTGACGTTGTTGGAGGTAGTAAGAGAGACGGCGAGTCAGCAACTGAGTCGAACCGTTGCAGGAGTAAACCTGTTGTGTTGTCCGGGTCATATCTCTGTATTGTAATTTTTCAGAATTTCCTAGCCGTTGGATTGATAACCACTAGTGGTCCTGGTTCATGCCTCCAATGAAATGTTACAGGGAAGAACTTGGGCCTCACTAGTACGGTATTTGGTATTTGGTATTTGGTATTTGGTATTTGGTATTTGGTATTTGGATTAGGTCCTCTAAAATTGATTTTTTATAATTTCAAAAATACAAATTAATTTTACTGGGGAATTATGAATTACAAAAACATTTAATTTTAAATCAATCTTAGAAAATATAAACTGTTATTAAAAAAATCTAGCAACCAATTGAATTTTTGAATCCTAATTTCCCAGAAAATCAGAATCTTGTAATTATATTGGAACATAAACAACATAAATCTTAAAAATAAAAAATAAAAAGTACAAACTATTTCATATGAGGAAACTCAAACCGTAACAATTAAAAAGTCAACACAATTCGAAGCACTCTCCTTCTGATCGCTGAATCCTAATCGTGTAATTTGTACGCCGCAACAAGAACCTGTAACTCGGTGAACTCATTGAGTTCGAACCTTAATTGATGCCTCCTTTTTATTAAACACTGAATTTCTCTTTTCCTTTAGATAGAACTCGGTGATAAAAAATCATACCATCAGAATTATTGTATAATTATTTAACTTAAAAGTAATATCATAAACATGCTACTAATTTAAATGTCCAGAAATTAATTAATCAAACAATAATCATATTTGCTAATATTTTAATAGTCGTTAATAACCCCTTCAATTTGTTAAAAAATCCAACTCATCAATTTGAATCACCAGTTCGCCACTCTTCAAGTTATCAAGCTTTTAGAGGAGTTTATGAGATTTAGCCAAGCCTGCAAATCACCCGCCTATTACACATGTTCACTTATCAAACTAGCATAGGTATATTTTCTTATTTTTGTAGAAATTATTAAATGATTCATATGTCCTGTCCAATCACAAACTTACCTGTAATTATATATGTCAGAGTTTATTTAATTTTTTAATTGCGCAAAGTAAATAAAACTAGGCACCCGAAAGAAAAAATAGGATAAAAAAACAAACAATACTTGTCTAGTCATGGGTAAGTAGAGAATTTTTACTGACTAAGTAGATGGCACAATAAAATTATGACAAATATTCTAAGATTTATAAAATATAAATATAACAAAAATAGAATCAGAACTGGTTTGACCTATTTTAATATTTTAATCGGGTTAATCCCATTTTTCTCTCCTTATGTATCTATACACACAATTAGCTTTTAAAGTAAAGAGAAATTAGGATTCAAGCTTTCTAAAATAATACCTTCTAAAAACAATACATTATTTTTGTTCTTCAAATCAAAAGATCAAATATGTTCTTTAGAATCGAAAGATCAAAATTTGGGTTATATATATATATATATATATATATATATATATTATAAACAAACAAAAACTCACTCACCTCCGCTTCCAAAGTAATTCTCATTCTCAGTGCAATAATATAATCCTAAGTTGGACGAAAGAAGGGCATGAACCTTTTTATTTTTTTTTTAAGAACAAACCGAAAGTATTTTATGATTCTAGCAATGGCTCTTCATACCAATCACATATTATCCACTTTGAGAAGGTAGAGAGCAAAACCAACCCCTCAAAACAATATTGCTAGATCTCAATTTATTTATTTTTATTTTTTTAAATTTTTGTAGTGTCCAAACACATATTCTAATATTTATAGGGATGGTGGTCGAGGATGTATAGGTGTACTATCAAACAATGGCACAAGCAAAAAATTGAGATAAAAAATGCTGTTAATCCAATAAAAAATTGGTCAAACCAATTCTGATTCTATTTTTGTTATATTTATATTTTATAAATTTTAAAACACTTGTCATAATTTTTTTGTGCCACCTACCTAGTCAGTAGAAAATTCTTACTTACAGGTGAGTAGGCAAGTATTATCCTAAAAAAAACTACCCCGTACTTATCATTTCAAATAGTTGAAGCAGAGAATTTGATAAGTAGCTGCTACAGTGGGCTTGTAGTTGAATTGTGTTGGGCCCATATGGGTGGGGTTGTCATTTTGGCCCACATATTGGTTGGATTAGATTGATTAAATGGGCTAACTTGGGCTAGCTACTGGGCACATACTTTTTAAGATTCTATCAGAGAAGTGTCCTTTTCACTTATCGTCATTGCACATGGGAAACCATGTAACAAAGCAAAGGGTTCTGTCACCCTACATGCCACTCTTTGTTAGTAGGTAAAGTACTCCTGTCCGTACATGACTAAGAAATATATATATATATATATATATATATATATATATATATAAGCAAGCCAAACCGCACTTACAACGCAACACAGCAACAACCCCATAGACCAAAAACAAACACACCATATAAAACCCAACAAAACCAACATGATGCACCCCCAGCTGACAAAACCGAACCCAGCACAAAAACTCAAGGCACCGCCTTGACAGCCACCCAATGGATCAATTGGACCCCGCTAATTTAGGTTGGGTAGCCCCAACTAGAAGTGCAAGCTGTATGAATATGCGTAGGATATTTTTGGATAGATAATCAGGGCCTTGTGGTAGCATTAACTCTTCTACCTTTTAAAGTGTATGGTATTGGTTTGAGTGTTTGAATAAACAATGTGGGCATGTGAGTTTTTTGTCAATAATTAAAAAATAATAGTAATAAATGGTTAGATATACACCTTAAATTTATATTTAATAATTCAATCTTATTTTATTATTGATTCAAAATGAGTGAAATAGCAATATTGCAATCTATGTTATTATAAAGATATTATTTTATCTAAAATAAAAAATAAAATATTAAATAATATCATGTGTCTTCTTCTTACTTAGGAATTTGACACATTCGACATGTATATATATATTTGCTTTTGACGTACAATTCGTGTAACATTGATTATGACTTTACAGTAATATACCTTTGCGTTTCAACTTTCAATCCAATATCACAGAAAACCATTATTCTTTATCCAAATATGTATTAGTCAATGGTTCACCCCAAAATTTGAAAAATCAAGAAAATTTTTGTTGAGTTTGAGTTGAATTGTACTAATGATAATAATAATAAGTTTCAAAATAGCAATCATTAAAACATTTGTATCTACAGATTACATGGATAGTTATAACAATTGTCCTTTTACGACGTTGCAGCGACATTTTCAAAATGTTGTAGATTTTGACAAAAACATTGCCATGCCAAGTCATCATTGATAGATCTGGAGCCAGCATAAATATGCGATATGTGTTGCATTGCTCGTTAAAAAGAAGAAAGAAGTTATGAAGATGGTACCTTCAATTCCCAAAACAAAATGGTTACAACTCCCATTGCACTGGCATGTACTGTTGGGTTATTTACTTGCATGGCCCAATTAAGAATTGAAGTTGGGTTTCTCAATTGTGCTTCAGGCCCGGTAGGCTTGGACTTGGACAGGTCAGCTGGGTTCCCAATTTGTCGACTGAGTCGGCCCAGTCCGGCCTGCTGTGCATGCTTGGTTTGATCAAATATGGCCCTACGAAGCGGGTTCAAAATGGCCCCTTTTACCTCCTCGCCCCCGATTCAGTTTTAAAACCCTTTTGAAAATCACCCATGCAAATTGTCCCCGTTTCGTTTAAGTTCCCCAACCTCTTCCCCTTCCGCCCCGTTTCCGTTCAAAAACAATTTTGAAAATCACCCTTGCACGTTATTCAACTTATTCCCATTTCGTTTAAGCTTCCCCGTCCCGTTAAACCCCAGCACATGGTTCCGTTTCATTTAAGTTCCCCAGCCCCTTACCGTCACGCCTTATATACCCCTTTTAAATTCTTACTCGGTTTTTTTCCCTAATTGTTCTATTCAAATTTTAAAAAATTATATTTAAAATTTGTAAGAGCGGAGATAGAGAATTCAAATGACCTACCCTACTCATATGAGATTAAGACAAAAGTTATGGAGCAGGCTAAATGCCATTCTTATCATCACGGCAATAATCAAATGCAACTTCATGAGTTATATGGATCACCTTTGTTTTATTTATTTATTTATTTTTTTTTTTTTATTGATAAAAAATACACACATTCTCTTGGAGATTTGAACCCTTACTATCAATTTTAAAAGATAGATGGGATATCATTAAATTTAATTTGCATGGTTACGAAGCCTATACCCGATTTGGCCCTTGGTGCACTTTGCTTGCTAAATCACACAACACAATAATCCAATCCAACGACTATAAAAGGCTCGTGCAGCATCCTGATGAATCCTAGCCATATAGTCTGGCTCTCTACCAAGCATCAATTTATTTACGAGTAGTATTTAGTTTGAAAGGTAGCAAATATATATCATCAATTTAGTTGTGTGTATACATATATATTTATATGAATGAATACTTCTATAAAATTTCCAAACTTTTGCTCCACTATATATATATATATATATATCCGTGTTCAATTACTATGATCTAGATCTTGCATTTGACTTGTCTGACAGAGCAAGCTGCGAGAAAGGCTGATTTGGACATGTCTATGAAGTATTGATCAGTTTTGCACTAATATTGCAGCTTTACGACAAATGTGGTGTGTGTGTTGTCAGTGTTGATAAGCTCAAAACTGATAACAAACAAAACCTTTCTCAACCCCAATGCAAATTCTAAAATGGAAATAAACAGCCAATAGATAGGTATCTAGCAGCAGCAGAGCGGCAAATACCAATTAGACAATTCAGATGTTTCTTACTACTCCAAAGTTTTAAAACACACATAACAGAAACCGAGACTATAAGCAAAAGTCACATGCAGATTCACACCACACATAGCTACCCATCTATATATATATATATATGGAGATCCATGCAGCTATAGCTAGGGTGGGTTGGTGGTGGACTGGGGACACGAGATGTGTTTGGATGTTGTGGGCTCATCCTTGACATTGGTGGCAGTGATAGGGAAGAGTTGTAGGGTTTTGAGGGGCCTACTACAAGAAGGGGGAGTTCCCTCATCGACCATCATCATCATACAAGTACCGCAGGATCTGCTCATGGACTTGTCCATCTCACACGGCCTTTCTGGAAGATCCATCTTATTCTTCCAGGTATAATTCATCACTTTTGTTGATGCATCCTCAACTCCACCCTAATTATTCCATTCCACAAAATTAACACCATTAGAACAATCAAAATTTATGGTGGCATATCCACTTCGGATATGACTCAGTGGTTTACTCGCTGGACTTTAGAACTTAGTAAGCCTAAGTTTTGGAGTTTGGATTCCGTTAAGTATTCTTTGTGGCTAGTCTCCGTTGCCCCTTACCCAGCCCGGGTGGGGAGGTGCCCTTTCGGGTCCTCGAGAATTAGTCGGGTTGTTTCGTGCCATCCCAGACACTCCGAGTTAATAAAAAATAAAAAATAAAAAATTATGGTGGCATTCCATTCCCAACTTAAATTTTATACTAGTATATAAAGTTTTGTCAGTTATTTATACGCAAGACCAAAATTCGACTTTTCTTATATATACAATTAATAGCCTTCCCAGTTTACACATACCTATTAATTTTGTTTAAATTTGTAAAAAGAGAAAAGAAATAAAAAATAAAAGCATAATAATTATCAAAATTTAAACTTTGTTATATATACAATACCCTAACGTGACTTTGGATCTTAACTCTCACGACCTAAGTCAAGGTTTCGAGACTCAAAGAGAAAAAAGAAAGAAATAAAAATTTTAAAATAAACTCCCCCAAATGAATATATATATATATTGAAAAACTATTTTGAGGGTAATTGCGAGGCTGTTATTGGATTTTTTGTTTTGGATCTAAAAATTCAAGGAGGAGTGATTGCCCAATTTAAAAGAATACCTTTGTTTTAAAATCGAAAACAAAATAGATTGTAATTTTTCTTCTTCTTTTCTTACCCTTTGTTACAAAATAGATTGTAATTTTAATATAAGTAGTAGTGTAGTACCAACACACACAATTAATTAAAGGCACAAAGTGGAATACTACTAACATATATACAAATAACATGTGTATAAAAAATTATTTGAATTTATGAGAATTTCACACTTCTGAAATGAATAATAATTATGATTATTTGGAAAGAAGGTAAACAATTAAGATTACCTGAGGAAGAAACCCTGCAGCTAAGTTATAGTAGTGAGAAAGTTGGTGATGATGAATAGGTGATGAAAAAGCAGGAGGAGGGTGGACATGGTAGCGAAGATGGTGTTGAACATCATGGATCAGTTGATGCTGGTACAGTACTGCTGCTTGTTGTCTCTGCTGTAGCTGAAACAGTCTCCTTCTAAGCTTCTGTCTCTCTCTGGCTTTGTGGTTCTGAAACCAGTAAAACACATTCTTGCCTTCAATCTTTCCATAGAAAGAGAGGTGGGCTGTGATCTGCTGTATCTGAGAAGCATTGGGTGTTCTTGTGCCGCTTTTGTACATCTCTTCCAAGATCATAAGTTGGTCCGGGGTTGGACACCACCTTGTTGAAGCTGCTGGAGACATTATGGGGTTTGTTGTAGTGGTATGTTAATTTTGGGAGGTTGAGAGCTTAGTTTCAAGAGCTAGCATATATGGTAAATAAATAGAAGGGCATGCATGCATAAAAATTAAAAAGTTAGAGAGAGAGAGAGAGAAAAGATATAGAGATCTAGAGAGAGAGAGATAAGCAAAAGGAAGACGTCAAAGGAGAGAAAAAAGAAGGTACTTGTACAGGTTGTCATACTGTTGTTTCCCTACAGAGAGGCATTCAGTGAAGTTTCAATTCCATGCACGTACGAGAGAGAGAGAGAGAGAGAGAGAGAGAGAGGAGACTTTGGGTGGTTTCTTGAATGATTCCGTCATCATCACCTTATTATTTACCCCACAGCAGAATGAAGTCATAGACAGAAAGCAAGTTGGATTCAACAACCCCTTTCAGAGACAGGAAAACAGTTTTGAAATATACAGTTCTCTCCTTTTAAAGTGCATGATGGACATGATCATAACGGACCCAAAAAATAAGGTATAGGGGGGTAATAATAAAAAAAATTAATAATTTTAAAGGGATTAATAATAATTTTTTAGGGATATATGGCTGAAAAAGAGCAAATTAGTAAAGGTTACATGGTATAATTGATCATATCTATATGAACAAATGAAATTGGATCTTATCCTACACAAGTATAATTTTGCAGTGATGGTTCAGATCACTCACACATCAAAGCTGGGAGGATATGCACTCCAATGGAACATACGTATCAACCAATAAGTTTGATTGTTGTGATCAAAGAAGCAGTTGTACAAAACATATATGCCCCTGGATACTAGATAGATCATAATATGTTAGAATTTGTAAATGAAAATTGTTTCGTCAGCCATGCATCAACAGATGCCTTAGACTGAACAGGTGCGATCATCAGCTGATTGGTTGTGGGATGAAAAGATGCAACTCAAAACCAACAGATATAACCTATTCAGTGTGAATCATTACAACATATTACAGTGGTTGTGTTCAGTTATGAATAGGCGCATAAAAATGATTGTGTCCAGTGATGAAGAGACACATATAAATGATTGTGTCTAATGATGAAGAGATACACCCAATCTGAAAAGGCACTTCTATTTCTATAAATACCCGATTGGGCTGTCATTTGCAATTAGTCCAATTCATTTTATTCCCTCTCCCTCTCTAGAATTAAACCTAACCCAAGTGGGACGTTCAAACTATAGATTAAGTGATCCGAGCCACTTAGACCCTAATTTAATTTCATCGAGCTATATTAAAATTAGTTTGAACTATTTGGTTCAAATTACACCCAATTCAACATTTATATATTATAGATGCATTTTTTGAGTTAGAAATAATATTATACGAAAGAGATTCGCCGTATTCACGAATTTATAACGATGCCAGTAATAAATATAGACCGTTATCTCTTAGGATACAAGCGCCACATAGTAGCACCATAAAATGTTAAGCTTGGTTGGCAATTTGGCACAGATTTCTTCTTCTTTTTAAATATTCATTACAAGTCTTGCATGCAATTCGAGAAAGATAAATGTTAGACTTGAAACTGTAATGTACGATTGCAACTGGAACACATTGATGTAGAGTAGTCATGTCAAGAGAAAAGGGTTCCTATTTTGTAGTATATATATTCCATGTATAAGCATAGCTGTATCGCTCCATACAAGGGAGTATCACTTAATGGTCATTAAGTGCATGCATCAGACCCCGACTAATTGGTTTAGTTAACCATCGTACTCTAGATGCGACCTACCACATGTCACTGTCAAACTCTCTGAGTCTCAATTCGATCGATCTTTTTCATAGGTGAAATGCTTGTAGCTATAAGTAAATAGAATAGTCATGTACTCATGTTGATTATGAGTCTTGAATCCTCTGGCGTACGTATAGTCGATGGTAGCGACGAATTGATTAAGGGCTCGTTTTTTTAATTTGCTAAATTACTTATAATTTTATTAAAATATTAAAAATATTCTTACTCAGTGTTTGAATTTTTATTTTTTTCACTGTTATAGATTCATACAAGGCGGCTCGATGTAACTCGGGACTTTAGGCGAAAAATAAAAAGTAACTTTTCATATCATAATACTTAATATATTAAGTATTAAATAATAATTAATTAAAAATTATCGTTCTTGTTTTTTGAGATGCAAAATTACTAATTAAATTCTTATATTAAAGTATAATTAAAATATCTTTTTTAATAGACAATATAACTAATCCATTTAATTCTTTTTGTAAATATGATTTCATCAACTCTTTGTTAGGTTTTGATTATTAGTTGTAACAAATTTATTAATAGCTTCCTTTGAGATTGAATTAGTTTATCTATTTTTTTTTTCCTTTTTTTTTCAAGTTTTTCAGATTCAAATTCAAATTCATAATTTCTAGCAAACAAATTCAATCGTACAATATGAGTAAAAATAATCACAACTCACAAACAAATATACAAATATATGAAAAATATCGATATATACAAATTTATAATAAAAAAATTTAGTAAAACTTAAAAAATAATTAAAGAAAAATAACAATATAACCTGATTAAAAAAACCCCAATTCAATGTTGTTGCAAATTCTTCAATACAAGAAAAGTGCATTCAAATTGAGACTAATTTAAAAGAAATAAAATTGTAAAATTGTAATGAGAGAAAACTGAATTGAGTTTGCTGAGAGATGAGAGAATGAACGTGAGGAATAAGAAATAAATAAATAAAATAAAAATTAGAAAAAGAGAATATGAAAAATTTCTTCACTTCCCTAAAATATATATATATATATATATATATATATATATAGTGCTGATGTAAAAAAATAAAAATAAAAATTGTACAAGATAGAGAAAGAAAAAATATACATATTACTTAAGAATAAAAATATTTGGGCCCATATTAAGTATGTGTATTGGTTAGGGTTGACTAAACAACCGTGAATGAGGAGGAGAGAGAGAAATTGAGAGAAAAAAATGAATTATTTTAGGAAATAAACTTGGTTAAAGTTTAATTAAAAAACGTGAATGATGACGAGGAGAGAGAAAATAAAAGAAAAAATAAGATTTTATTTTAGAAGATAAATTATTTGGAATTAGTACTTAATAATGTTACGAATCAATTACAATATAACTTATACAAAGAAACTATTAAATTTTGGGACCTTCTTATTTGTTGGGCCTTAGGCCGCCTAAAGCTTGAGCCGCCCCTGGATACGTACATAATTATAATGAATATATTTTCATCTGTGCACCTAAATCGCCTGCCACTCCTAGATACATACATAATCATAATGAATATCTTTTCACCCGTGGACGTAAGCCGAGTTTGACCAAACCACATATATGTTGTGTTTTGTGTATAATTGCTTAATTTTTTGCCGGGCTTGTTGAATTTCCATGTTCCTGTGCCTCTGAAGGCTGTTAGAATGTAAAACTCCATGCATTCTGCATTTGGTGAATCCATAATGATTCTGATGCTAATTCCACCCAAATTTGGAATACATGCAAAATTTAGAATAACCACCACCATTAATATTTCCCATTCTAAAGTTTGTTCCCCATTCATGATTGTCCATTCTGAATCTCAACAGCCAAAAATATTCTAATTAATACTCCGTATATATATATACACACACATATATACATATATATATAAGCGCACATCTCAGCTTCATTCATGCATTATCATCACTCTCTTACATGTGGTTGGGTTGTGGTATGTTCATTTACATAGTATTTGTTTTGGAAGGTTGAGAGTTTTAAACATTGTACTTATGAATTCACCAGGGCATTAGTTATTGAACATATAAGTGGCCTGCGCGGCATAATCAAAAATATAGTTAAAGAGAGAGAGGACCATTTAAAAAAAAATACTTGTGCAGGTTGTGCATTTAGTAAAGTTTACACTGTACATATAAGTTAGATGCAAGTTAGATTGAATCATTTTTTTCATCATCAACTTGATACTATTTACTTCACAGCAGAATGAATCAGACATGCATAAAGCAAGTTAGATGCAACTGGTCTGTGATCAATTCCTTTCAGACAAAAAGAAACAGCTCAATATATTCCTTTATGACGTGGAAAAATAGTACCAACTGAGACATCCTGCATGGTATAAAAAATTGTCAAAGTATATACGTTAAAATTATAAATAAATAAAAACCCCACTACAATTAAAATTATGTATAAAACCCCCAACTGAATTTAAAAACCCCATGAACTAACAAATCGTAACACACATTATTTTCATACTCGTGACCGATCTGTTAATTGGATTGTAAAATGGCAAATTTAACCTTATTATTTAATATTAAATTATAAACTAAAAATTATTTTTAAATTATAAAAATACTTTTTTATTAAGAGAGAGAGAGACAGAGGTGGGAGTTTTAGAGGGAGGGGGTGAAGAGGAAGAAGACAATCAATTTACTCAAAAGGGGTATTTTTGTAATTTTAAAATAATAATTTTTAATTTAACTGAGTTAACGGATCGAGTATGGAGTAACATCATACGATTTGTTAGTTCAGGGAGTTTTTTTAATTGAGTTGGGGTTTTATGTATAGTTTTGATAGTAGAGAGGAGTTTTATGATTTTAACTCAAATTAATAATACTCCATTTGTTCCACAAAAAGTGTTCCCCTTTCATTTTTTTGTTGTCCCAAAATAATCGTCCTAATTCAAAATTAAATGTATTATTTTTTTTTAATATTTCTAATTTATCCTCGTTGCCTTGAAGTTACAGAAGCATGTGGTCCATCATAGAAGGGTATATTTGAAAATTCATTCTTTACAACTATAATAAGAATACACTAAAAACTACACTCTTAAAATTTAAGTTCCAAAAAAGAGGCACCATTTTATGGGATGCAGATGGTAATTTGTTTTTCTTTCAAAATATACAACTTTAAATTCAGATGAATGGTTTTATAATTAAGGCCTAGAGGCGCCCGACCTAAATCACATAAAACTAGTGCAGGAACAGGAGCGAGTGCGAAAGTAGGAGCGTGAAAACGGTAAAAATTTAAATCAACTAGAAGAGAACGACAGTGAGAGCGCATGCAGAGCGCGAAAGCGACACCCGTTTAGAAAAATTATATGACTTAGCGCCTAACATGCAATCGTTAATTTTTTAGAAATAATTGAAACTTTTCTAGAGCTATGTTTTATAATTAGTCCCTTTGATTGGGCCGGAATTGAATTTTTTTAATTAAAACTTTAAATTAAATTTCTTATAAGTGAAATTATGATAATTGCGAACGTATTCATAGCTCAATGGTTGGGTTCCTCTCGTTATTCTAGGGAGTCTGCTTTCGTGCCTTCTATCCAGTAACGTCTAATATAATATTATTGCCATGAAAAAAATAAAAATAAAAAACAGATAATTAAATGACAGTTTTATTTTCCATATTCAATAAAGCTAGATTTATATTTGTATGTTCAAATCTCCTCCCACCGTGGGTTGAGGTAGCCGTGGGCTGGACTTTCCATTGTGGGTTTCTTACCCTTCTTTGATTCTGTTCCTCTAATTGGGATAGGCCCCAATGCTTTTTGAAATGCAACTGTTTGTACTAGCCATGTGATTTTTACTTAACATATAAATATATTTATATGTTACGTAAAAATATTTTGCTTGAATTTTTTTAAGGAAAAAAAACAGGGAAACACATGCTAACAAGACCAACATATGACAAGTCTCATCTGAACTACCGAAGGATATGATAGTATTACGTAAAATGATTAATTTAAAACTTATTCTTCTATGGTTTAATTCCTTTTTTTATTTAAATAAGAAGTTGATGGACTTATCATATATATGTGTGTGTAAGTGTAATTCTATCACATCTCTGTTTAATATATGCAAATTATGTGTAAGGAGGCATGTTGAAAATGAGCATTTAAAAAATTATCAACAACAACCTTCAACTGTTTTTGTTTCAAATTTTATCCTTACATCACCAGAATAGAGTCAGGAATTTGTTTGTGGGAGCACCATATTAAAAAGGATAAAATATTTTTTTACCATTAGCTTAACTGTGCACAAGAAGCCAAGAAACAGAAGTGTAGTAAAAGTGCAACATTCAAAATTCATATACTCCAGTATTTAATAATTTTTTAAAAAAAAATTGTCGTAAAATAAATTCAGAAACATAGATAGATAAAGACATTAAGGATCTTTTTGGCAACAAGTTCTATTTTAGTAACTTTTTTTTTTAATGCGTTTATCTATTCTGAAACAAAAACATGTTTGGTATTTGTTGCACAATATTTGATTCATTTTTTAAAATGGTATTTACATTATATATTGGTTTAAAAAAAAAAATTACAGTTGTTAGTTACAATAATAAAAAAATAATAATAATAAAAAACAAGGAAGAAGAAAATAAAAAGAAATATATATATATATATATATATATATATGAGAGGACTTTAAATATTTTGAGCAGAAAAAAAAAATGCAGACGAAGAAGAGGAGTGGTAGAATGAAAAGAACCAAAGAATTAGAGTGATTCAAAAATAAATACTACGTAAATAAATAAAACCAAGGGTAATATTTAGATATTCATGATTGTCCAGTTGTACTACTAGTGTTATACAAGCCCCATCATTTTCTTGTACTAAGTTCAATAACAAGTTAACCAAGGGTGATTTACTTGTACGTAAATAAATAAATAAATAAATACTACGTAATTAAATAAAACCAAGGGTGATTTACTTGTACTAAGTTCAATAACAAGTTAACAACTGGAGAGTAGAGACTGCAGGGGATTAATAGTTTAGACCAACCTTGTGTGCTACTTACTTACTTCTTCATTTTCTGGACTCTCTTATTCGCTCAAACTTTAAGTAAATAGCATTTTTTTTATTTTACGGTGAAGTGCCAAAAAAAAAAAAAAACTCTCAAATAATATTTTTTACGTTCAAATCCCAACTTTGTGGTATGTATAGTATGCAAATAAGAATTTTCCGTCCATTAAATAATAATTGGAAGGCAAAAAGACCAAAATGCCCTCCACTCTACATATAACAAAAATAATATAAAAAAATAAAAAATCTAGAAGACAAAATTACCTAAAAATACAAATTCAAAACCGCACCATTTTTATTCCTTTTATTTATATATATAATCATTTATATTTGTATGTAATATATGAAGTATTTAATTATATAAGAGTGGGGGGCAATTAGAGAGAGAGAGAGAGAGAGAGAGAGAGAGAGAGAGAGTTGTTACAGAGGAGAGAGAAAATATATTAAACATAGATAGAGTATTTAGAGAGATAGAAAATATATTAAATAAGGGTATTATATATAAAATGAGTGGGGGTAGTTTGGAAAGTTTAAAAGGGTAGTATAGGTACGAAAGGGCCTTTTTTATAGTCACATGTTTCGTAGATGCCATTTTAGGAGGGCAAAGGCCCTTATTTGCTCACTTTTCATACTACAGGGGTGAAATTTGAACGCAAAGGATGTTATTTGCATATTTTTTAAATTATAGAAATATTTTTTGCACATTTTTCAAATTATAGGAATGTTTTTTGCACTTCATCCCATTTTTTTATACAACCAATACGCCTCATCCTCATGTTTACTTCCCTAATAAGTAGTTACCGAATTCAATTTATAAAGTCAATATGAGATCCATCACTTCATTTATATTAATTGAATTCGTCGAATTGTTCCTAAATCACTACTCTCATCTTAAACCTTGTGCACAAAAAGTTTAAAGTTTTTGTTTGTAACACTAATATATCTTCTATCTACCCACTTTCTCTGTTTACGAAATGACAGTGAAATTCAATGCAGTAGCTAAAACTAATATGTACTGCTTAAAATTATTTACATTTTTTTGACGGTTGATAACACTATTGTTTTCTTGAGAAGACTCCAACACTGTAACTGGTTGGTAAGTGTTTAAGAGGGTATAATCACATTCGAGACTAAACATGCTCACTGATGATAATTATAACGAAGACAGTGAGATGCAACCTAGAAAAAATATGTACTGATAATTAACTATGAACCTTAACTATGTACATGTTGACTTGGATCCAAACAAATTCCCAGAGACTTTATTTTAATACGATAATGTGATTGACAAGACAAAGTTGTGTCACTTGTTTACGTACTTCATTAAAATCCCAATTATGAAGATGAAGAGCATCCAAGGCAACTAACTACTGTCTCCAGGGGTACCAAGTTCGACTCCTAGACAAGCAGACCTGTCGAAACTACGGAGGAAATTAAGTGAAGTTCTCGGTCATGTCTCAGCCCTCGCGTGGCTGATCATCGCTGGCCCATATTTGGCTAGCTGGAACTTAAAATTCCCATATTTTGAATCTTTGATTGCAGTTGCTGGGTGGTCCTGGTTTTAAATTGCTTAATATTAGTATAGTACAGTGTTTTCTGTAGGTTTTTTTTTTTTAATGAGACTCGGTCAACTTCATCATAAGATTTTAAATCAAGTTTTTTTTATTCACTTGTCACATATTTGGCGATCTTCGTTTTCTATAGTTGTTTGTAATGAGACTCAGTCAATTATAAAGTTGTTTTAATTCACTTGTCACTTCAGGTACTTTTTTTTCTGTTTATATGTTTCATTTGACGTACATATTCAGTAGCATTGAAAGCCAGTGTTGATCGTTTCAGCAAAAACATCAAATCCATAGAAAATTCAAAGTATTCTACTAGAGAATCTGTCAAATTTAAAAAGAGAATATATATACACTTTATTAATTGGATTTGTCCATATGTAATACAAGACAGAAACAACTTTCCGAAGAAAAGTAAAAAAATAAATACAAGACGACAACACTCAACAGAATAGTTCTCCCCTGCAGGCATGAGAATCCAATAATTTGATTAATATTTCACTCTGGTCTGCAATCTGCATATTATGCTTCGATTATAACGATACACCAGCATAGAAACAAATACCTTGTAAATTGGTAATAGTTTAAATCGATTCACTTCGTATAAATGCCTGGCCGAGAACAGGATCTCTGTGTATATTCCATCAAGCATGGCTGCATCTATGCTCTTCATCTCTTTAACTATTCTTCAAGTTCTCTTCGCCACTTCTTCACTAATCCAGGCAGCCCCAGCAAACTCAAAGCTCTTCAGAGAGTACATAGGAGCAGAGTCCACGGGTGTTAGGTTCTCAGATGTACCCATTAATCCCAACGTCGATTTCCACTTCATTCTCTCGTTTGCCATTGACTACTCAACCAAAGCGTCCTTTCCACCCCCCACGAATGGAGAGTTCAGTGTTTTCTGGGACACCGAAAACCTCTCCCCTTCTCAAATTTCTTCCATCAAGGCCCGACATCCGAATGTGAAGGTAGGCATGAGTCTCGGGGGTGATTCTGTTGCCAACGTCAAAGTCTTCTTCACCCCTACATCAATTAATTCATGGGTCAGAAATGCTATTAATTCAATCACACAGATTGTAAAACAGTATAATCTGGACGGAATTGACATTGATTATGAACACTTCATTGCTGATCCTGACACATTTGCTGAGTGCATAGGGCGGCTTCTATTCTACCTTAAGCAAAACAAGATCGTGTCATTTACCTCAATAGCACCATATGATGATGATTCTGTTCAGCCTCATTACCTGGCTCTTTGGAAGAAGTATGGGCATCTTATAGACTATGTCAACTTCCAATTTTATGCCTACGACAAGGGAACAACTATTTCTCAGTTTCTGCAATATTTTGAAACTCAAAGCTCCAACTATGAAGGAGGTAAAATTTTGGTGAGCTTTGGTACGGATGGAAGTGGAGGGTTGTCTCCTGAAAAAGGCTTCTTCAAGGCATGTGCCATGCTTAAAAGTCAGGGTAAACTTAATGGTATCTTCATTTGGTCTGCAGATGACTCCAAGAAGGCTGGTTTTATTCACGATAAGCAATCACAAGCCTTTCTGGCTAGTAATTGAACTTCGTAACATTGTTATATTGTGTGGAAGTGATCCAAGAAGACTGATTTCCCATGAAAAGATACCTCAGTCTTGTATTAAGTGATTTTTGGATTCAATCTAAGTGGGAAAACTTGGTTTATTAATGAATTTTCATTAAATGTATCAAGGGGCTTTACACAATAACATCTGCATCCTCAAGGTTATTTTTTTTAATCACATTCTCAAAAAATTAATTGCAGTTCCCTGTAAAACAAAATTCTTAACAAGGTTCCTAGCAATAAAAATGATTCACTTTGTAAATTCCTCACGCAATAATCAGAACCCAAGACATTATCCTGACATCATGATGATGCTCTACAAAACCAGAATTACTTCGACCAGGGACGGAGCCAGGAAATTAAGTCGGGGGCATATGAACATGACCCCCAAAAAAAAATCCAACTAACATGCAGAGAGTAACAAGATTGCAAGACATCAAGTTGGAAAATAGAAATGTAGTAATGGTATAGTAATTTCAAAATAATATATTGTTATTTGCCCCAAAAAAAATGCAGTAAAGAAAAGTTTCAAAACATCAAATAGGGATATTAAATTCATAAAATTATGGGAATATATTTAAAGAAGAATGATAGAAAAAGATGTTATTGCGCATACATCATACATGAGTGTGCCAAGGAAAAAATAAGAGTGTTAGAAGAAAAAGAATGCAAAATATTGGAAATCAAATAAATTAGGGAGACAAAAAGAAAAGAAGAAAATAATATATCGTTTATAAAAAAAGGCAGTATAAATTTCGATATCTTCATTTGGTCTGCAGATTAGTATTCACTAGATTGGTTAAACAGTGTAACTACAACTTCCATTGTGATCAATAAATACAAATAAACATATTTTCCACTACAGAGCACACTTCAATTTTGATTTCCAATGCCATTTGCAAGACTAGATATATATGGTCCTTAAGTTGATTCAAAATGTGGTTCTACTGTGTTTCTATAGATACTTGTCTCATCCTCCATGTATAATAATGCAATTGATCTAAACATGTTATAAAAAATTCACAATACAATTTGCAATTATATTTCATTGATAATAAGGAAAAGCACACTATATAAACCATCAACCAGAATTCAATTAAAATCAAACCTCAATGGAATACAAATTCATTCAAAAGCTCGGAAAATCGATTAACAATGAACAAATTCCACAGACATTGCATGAAAAAAATATATATATACCACTATCAGTATTACCCAAAAGAAAGAGCTTCCTTTGATCACAACCTGCCAACGGCTAATGATCGCCTTCGATTTTCTTTCTCTTCTTCTTTGAAATAATCTGCTCCGTCGAATCAACAACCTCCATCATCAATCTCCCCACTCTTCCTCTTCTTCTTTTTCCCTTTCCTCTCTCTCTCCACAACTCCCAAATCACCCCCACTTTCTCTCTCTAAATTATCAGCACTCCTCTTCTTCTTCTTCTTCTCCTCTCTATTCCCCACATTCTCTTCAACGTTTCAACTCAATTTGGCTTCTCTAGAGTTTTGCTCGGAGACAATTGGGTTTCCATTGTTTGCCCTCTCTGATCGATGTTTGATGTGATTGCGATCCGAACGCGAAGGTTTGAGCTCTTTGTGAAACTCCACCAAATCGTTGAATGACAAAGAAGAGCGCTTTAGGTATGTGGACACTGCTCGCAAAGCTCCGGTCTCGACGTCGACGAAGTTGTGTAGAACGTTAGCTGCTTTGGAGAGAGAGATTGGCTTTGTGGATACGACTTTTCCTGAAACGCCCTTCATCTGAACCCAACATACGGAGTTGAAACTAGGGTTTGTTGAGAGATACTGTTTCTAGGGTTGTTGGTTGTCACTCTGACCGTAACCAAATGGAGTTTATTCAAATCGTTAATCGGACCATTTGATTCCATGGATAATTGTGTTATTAAAAGTCTAACAATTACGGGGAAAAAAAAATAGGGTAAAGTGCGAAAAAAATCCTCAACTATGGGTCAAAATGCAATAAATCTCTCCGAACTACAAAAAAATGCAATTAACCTCCTGAACTATTGTACTTTGTTGCAATTTATCCACTCAGGTCACTAGCATAAAATTTTGGGTTAATTACAACGACACTCCCTGAAGTTTGCTATATTGACAGCCATATACAACTTAACTATTTTTTGGACAAAGACACCCCTTAGGTTTACAAACTTGAACAATGACACCCCATTTAAAAAAAACGGAGCCAAACACAGCCTTAAGTGACATGAAATGTTTAATATGCCCTAAAATATATTTTAATCCTCACCTAAAATGACCAAATTACCCTCGCATTTCATTTTTCTCTTTCAACATCTCATCATCTCATCCTCTCTCTCAACCCAGTTCCTCCTCTTCTTCCACACCCTTCCAATCCGTAAATCAAACCCAAATTTCTCTCTATCTCACACACACACAGAGTATCTCTCAAACCCCCATCTCAAACCCCCAATCTCGATTCTTGCCCGCCGATTCCATGTCGCAGTTCCTCTCATGGTCGAGCCTTCCACCGGCCGGTGAGGGCTTGGCCGGTAAGGGTTCGGCCGTGTTTAAGACGGCCTCGGTTGTGGGCAACGGGCTATTAACACTGAACGCGGGTGGATAGCTTGGCTGGATAGAATCGGCGTCAGTTGGCTCAGTTGACTTCAGAACGGCGATGACGGGCGCGGTTGACTGACAGCGGCGGTGACGGGCGCTGACTCGTCCAAGTTGGACTCGGTGGTGGCAGAGCTCGGATGCGGTGAACGAGGTTGGTTCAGCTCAGCGGCGGTGGCGATGGCAGTGAGCAGACGATGGAGGAATGGACTGCGGTTATGGATAGGTCGGATGAGGGCGACAGCGGGACGGTGATGGGCTCGGTTGTGGGCCTGTGGTGGCTTGATGGACTGCGGCTGTGGATGGCTCGGATGAGGGCGACGACAGGACGGTGATGGGCTCGTGGCGGCTTGATGGATGACGGGGAAGAAGGGCTCACAGAATGAATGGGAAAATCTAAAATTTGGAAGAAGAATGGATATTTTGGATGAGGGTAATTTGGTCATTTTACATGGTCAAAAGGTAAACATGTACTTTCATCATATTTGGGGTATCATTGTTCAAGTTTGTAAACCTAGGGGGTGTCTTTGTTCAAAAAATGGCTAAGTTGTATATGGCTGTCAATATGGCAAACCTCAAGGGATGTGGTTGTAATTAACCCTAAAATTTTTTACTTTAATTAGGTGTGTGTAAGCCACTTTTTTTCTAAATGCCTATTTCACCCTTGTCATACAAAAATACCAAAAAACCTTTATTCTTAAAATCATTACCCTAATTTGTATTTGTGTGTGTGTGTGTGTGTGTGTGGATTTCATCTCTCTCTATCGGTTTCTCTCGATCACGATCTTTGTCTCTCGATCACAATTCCGGCAAGATATATATAGATTATTGGTCTCGATCTACAATATCTCTCTTCTCTATCTGTATCATCTACCATCCACATATATATATATATACACATATATATACGGATTATTGCAAAGGTCGAGATTAACTGGTGAATCCTCTTGTAGTTCTGGCATTCGAAGAGGTGTGTTCAAGAATAGGAGATGTTTTTGTGGTGTCAAGGCTGCTGTATACAGAAAAATATATAATATATACACACAAATATTTTAATTGACCTATTGACATCGATCCAATCAATAGAATACACATACACATAAAAGCGAGAGATTTATCTGGATCTGCATATTCTAATAGATCTTTTGTCAGTAAAAATGAAACAGTCTTAAAGAGAGAGTGTATTGAGAAAAGAGAGAGGGAGAGAATGGATGGCGATTCTGTATGCACTGGTGGTTAGGGGATCAGTGGTGTTGGCAGAATTCAGTGGGACATCGACGAACACAGGCGCGATCGCTAGGCAGATTCTGGAGAAAAATTGCGGGCAACAATGACACCAGTGTCCTACTTTCAAGATCGGTACATCTTTCACGTGGAACGCATCGATGGCCTCACCATGCTCTGTATAGCTGATGATATTGTCGGAAGTAAGAAAGCTTACTCTTCTTTGATTGACCCATTTGAGGTGGTTCATGTTCCTGTTGTTGATAAGGCGGGTGCTGAGGTGTCAACTTGTTATTGGCTCTTCATATTACAATATGCCATGTCATTGGTTTCAATTTAGGCCTAAGAAAGTTTAATAAAACTATGTCGTTTTGTATGAGGGCATTAATGTCATTTAACATTTTTGGTGAGGGAATTTGCCCGGAAAAGTTACTGTTGCCCTTAATAACAACAAATTGATAGTTTAAGAGGGTTTTTTTTTTTTTTTAGTTTAGAAGGGTTAGTTGCAAAAGGCCCATAGTTCAGGGGGTTTTTTTGCACTTTTAAAAAATAATGTAAGTAACAATATATAGCTAAACTTCATTCTTTATTTTATTTTTATTTTTATTATTATTATTATTTTTTGTTCAATTGTCTTATATATATGTATGTATATGATGGGTCAAGTGTTAAAAAGACCTATAATGTATACTTTGCCCAATACTTTCACCCATATTTGAAAAATGTACTAAAAACACCCATATTCTTTTAAAATAGTATGAAAACACTCCTCAATCAAAAATTTAACATAAAATAATGATGTAATACTCATTTTACCCTTATACTCTTCCAAAAATGCTCAAGTAGGTGTGTGCGCTAATAATCTTATAGTATATAGGTATTATGTGCACATTAACTGTATTTAATCAACTTTTAAGAATTTTCTCTCACATTTTCGGGGAAAAAAAATTCTCTATATATTTTCATTAACCGGGTATTACTTTTTTAAAAATAAATAATTTGCTCTCACAATTGTCAGATTGATGTACAGTATATCATATGGAATGAAAACTTTAGTTCCTTTTATAATTAAAAAAAAAAAAAATCCCAATTAAATTTTAAAATAATTATCAGTTTTCATTAAATATATAATTAAAAATTAAATTAAAAATACTTATTCATTATATATAATTAATATACATTTAATTTTTTTAACTTT